GCAAATTAGAGTGGTTGGCATCAAACCAACCAGGGTTCCAATATTGACTCTGCAGTCAGGCCTGCTTTGTTTCCTGTGGCAACTGGATGAATTTCTCTAAGTCTCAGGAACATCCTCTGTTGAATGACATTAACCATATTTACCTTCCATGGTTAAAATGAGGATTAAATGGGATAATTTATTTGCACATAGAAAATGCTCAAATGATAGTCTTATTAATATGAGGAGTAAAGAGAGATCTGGGTATAGTGTAAAAACTTTGTTAGAGTAAGGAACATCTAAAAAAATGGTTTTGTTGAGGTAATTCTCAATTATAAATAAAAGCAGTCCTTGTCAACTATATAGATAGGTCTTTTTTTGTTTTAAAGGCAGAGTGAACAGTGAGAGAGAGAGAGACAGAGAGAAAGGTCTTCCTTTTTGCTGTTGGTCACCGCGGTTGGTGCGCTGCGGCCAGCGCATGGTGCTGATCCGAAGCCAGGAACCAGGTGCTTCTCCTGGTCTCCCATACGGGTGCAGGGCCCAAGCACTTGGGCCATCCTCCACTGCACTCCTGGGCCACAGCAGAGAGCTGGCCTGGAAGAGGGGCAACTGGGACAGAATCTGGCGCCCGACTGGGACTAGAACCTGGTGTGCCAGCGCTGCAAGGTGGAGGATTAGCCTAGTGAACTGTGGCGCCAGCCTATAGATAGGTCTTTAAGAAAACCTATGTATAGTTATTTTGTGTTAAGAAACATAAGGCTTTCTGAAAAATCATCCTGGAAGACAGAGGAAGAAATAAAATACATCACGTGTTTTCTAGTCACTGAAGTAAAGTAACTGATACCTCACATCAAATCAAATTATTATCAGTGATTTTTTTACACATACTAAACAATAACACTTTCCAATTTTGTTTCTCACTAAATTTTTTCAGAATCTCCATCACAAAGTACTTGAAAGACATTTTGTTTATAAGATGCCTGCTTTTCTGTGCTGATGATGTGCTCAAAAGGAGGCTGGACTCCATGTTTCTTTCATTTAGGATGCTCCAGAATCTCTGAACTGCTAGGGGCTGATTTTTGTTTCTCCCTTCTAATAGTGCTGCTTCCCCCAGCTCCTACCTCCGTAGTTTGTTTCACAGGTCCTGTTTCTCCTCTCCCAGGTCTCACCATGCTTCTTGGGGTAGACCTAGAGTAAGTTCAATGATAGAATGCTGAAGAAACCAGTTAGCCAGTCAACCAACCAATCACCCAACCAAACAGCAATCATTCATCCATCCATCCATCCACCAATCCATCCACCCACCCACCCACCCAACCACCACCCAGCCAACCAGCCACCGATCCTTTGACCCATCAATCTATCAGTCCATCGATTCATCCATCCATCCATCCATCCATCCACCCACCACCCATACAGCCAACCAACCAACCAGCAAGCCAGCCAGCCAGCAACACAACCAAATAACCAACCAACCAAACAACCTCTTATGCAATCCCCTCAGCTAGGTGGAACATACTTTCTTGAGTCCCCTCCATAATACCCAAGAGAACTTCACTCATGACAGCTTTATGGTGAAGCTCCTTTTACAAAGGCCTTGATTTCTTCTCCATAGTTTTAAAATCTATTCACAGTTAAACCGCTATTTCTAAGATTTCATCATGGCAAGCATCCCTTGTTCTCTACCATCTGCCTAACCTTCTCTTTGCATGATAAATACCCACCTTTTTTCTAGTTATCTTCAATAAGGTCTTGTGAAGTTACAAATACTACACCTCATCTTCTCTAGTTCAAATGATAACAGATTTCTAGTTCAACCTAAATGGTAGAAAGTCAAACATTATGAGCTTGATTTTCTTATGGATATTGGTTTGCATTAACCACAATCCTATGCAAATAAATATGCTTAACACTCAGCATAGAGATAAATGAGAAAAGTGCCATTTTATCAGCTAGAAATCTGAGTTGCTCTTATCCTCTTGTAGGTAGGGCTGATGGACAGGTCAGACTTGGGTAGCGAGGGGCAGATCCAGAGGAATTCTGGCTGGACAGAGCAGTGAACCAAGTCACTGCCTTAGAGGGAAGAGCCAGTGTAAGCATGATACCCGGGCTGAGACGCATTAGCAAGGGTCAGTTCAGAGTGAGGTATACACACGACTTGGCTGGATGTGACACAATCCAATTGGCACCATGGGCCATCAGTTACAGGGACAGCTAAAAGTGACTGACTAGCAGTCGTAAGCATGTGCTGTATTGGGGAGCATGTGCTCTGTGGGGAGGTACAGCTCAATGACCCCCACCTTCAACTCCAGGTGTCTGTGCTGGGCTTCTCACCAGGGCACTGCCATCCGCAGTGCTCTTGGGCATCTCTGCTGTGAAGTTTGATGCTATAAAAATAACAGAAGATTTATGTTTGATTTACTCTTAGGGCAAATGCAGAAGAAATAAAATTCTTAACATTCCGAATAGTTTCCTCTGATGATCTTCGATGTGCTGAAGGGTAACATGATAGGCAGCCACCGTGAGGAGCAAATATGTCCAAGGACCACGGTTACGTAACAGCAATAGGCAAGTGGGGAGGAGATTTAGGTCTAAGTGGATATGATCAGGCATAAATTCAGGGTGTTTATTTAATTTTCCATCCAAACTGCTAATGAAGTACTCTGTAAATGTAGGATACTAAAACTGTGTCAATTAGTGCAAATTCTACACTGTGTGGAGGAAAACACTGTAATTACTTAACAGGAGAAATATAATTGTTTACAGTCCATAAGCATCATTGCAATTAAGATATTACAGTTTTTAAGCTTTTAGACTCCTTGTTCAGTGATTTTTTAAAAAAAAAGGATTTATTCATTTGAAAGGCAGAGGGAGGGAAGGACACACATACACACAAAACAGACAGACAGACACACACACATACACACACACAGAGCGCAAGCGCGAGCGTGAGCGCTAGCTTCCATCCACTAGCCAGGGCCAGGCCAGGAAGGAGCCAGAAGCCAATACCTCAGTTCAGGTCTCCCATTTGGGTGGCAGGAACCCAAGCACTTGGGCCATTGTAGCTTCCCCGGCACGTTAATAGGTACTCTGATAGGGGATGCTGAAATCCCAAGCAGCAGCTTAAAATGCTGCACCACAGCAGCCACTCCAGTTAGCACATCTTAAAAATTCTTTTGTTATATCTTCCATTTCTCAGATTGCTATATATCTTTTTTGCGGTTATTTTTATGCTCTTAATAGTCTAAAGGATTTGGTATTCAAAAAGCATTTGTAGAGTTGTAGTCCATTGGTACCTGACTTAGGATCCAAGACCAACCATGAATGGATCTGATTTTTGAAAATGTTTGTTGCTTATTTATTCACTTTAATTTATTTGAAAGGTGGGGGGAGGGGGAGAGAGAGAGAGAGAATATCTTGCATTCACTGGCTCACGTCTCCAGTGTCTACAACAGTCAGGGCTGGGCCATGCTGAAGTCAGGAGCCAGGAACTACACCTGGCCCTCCCTGTAGGCAGCAGGGACTCTTGTACATGAGCCATCACCTGCTGCCATCTGTGTGTATTTCTGAGAATTTGGCTAGGAAGATGCCAGGACTCAATTTCAGACACTCCTATATGGGAGGTGGGTGTCCCAGGTGATGGCTTAACCTGCACTGTCACAACACTCACCCTTTGATTTTATTCTTATTGGATTCTGTTTCATTGTCTAGTCTTTATTTGGTATAAATATCTGAAAAGATAACAAGAAAAGTCAAAAGAAAGGAGATTAAAATAAAGATCAATATCAGGACATAGAGCTGAATAGAGGAAGTCTTAGAAGATTCCAATCTTCTTTGTCTATTAAGATGCCACCCTGGAAGTCATTCCACTTGGTACTGAATTTAAGCAAACCTTAGTGCATATTCTCCTATCAGTTGGCTGTTTGTCTAGTCCACATAAGGATGGTACGCCAGGTTCATTTTTTTTTTCTTACTTCGGCCAATTAGATTGCTCCATTAAAACACTTTTCTTTCACATAAAGATTTTCATTTTCCTGAGGAAAGCATACTGGTAACAAAAACCTATCTTTTAGTTTACTTTTTTGAAATTTATTTACTTATTTGAAAGGCAGAGTTACAGAGAAAGATGGAGGTCTTCCATCCACTGGTTCACTCCCCAAAAGGCCACAATGGCTGGAGCTGGGCCAGACTGAAGCCAAATGCCTGGAACTCTACCCGGATCTCCCACATAGGTGGCAGGGGCCCAAACACTTGGATATATCTTCTGCTCCTTTCCCAGGCATATTAGCAGGGAGCAGAAATGGAACTGGAGCAGCTGGGAGCTAATATTGTGCGCCGTGGTCACAGGCTGAGTTGTAATCCGCCACACCACAGTACTGGCTGCAAATACCTACTCTGTAAGTCAGCTTCCTTCTTCCTTGCACAAGACACTGTCCCCCGAGCTGCAGACTGAAAGTCACAGGCTGTGAACTGTCGCATGCAGGGCGGCAGGCTAAGTTTCTGCAGACGGTATGGTCAAGGAGTTCTTACAGTGAACTTTATCTCTGCATTTTTAGTGTCGGGGACACTTATGATTCTAGGTAGCACCACCACGCGTGGCTCTGAAAGCAAAAGAAACAGCAGGGGCACAGTTCCAACTGCTTAGTAAACAACTGAAGAAAGATGCTTGTTAAAGCTGGCTCTCAGATGACAGGCAAATGCATGGTTCGATTACGCATGCTAAGTTCAGCATGCTGCAAGCGTAAAAACAGATAGATCAAAAGAAGAGGGACTTTAAAAAATCATGAAGATAAAATGCAGCCATGTCAGCACGTGATAGGAGAATAATTTTGCCTTAAAACTGATATCCCCTTTCCTCCTCAAGAAATGTGTAATCAATTTATGGAACAAAATGAGGTGCGATTTAGTGTGTGCCATCTGAACACAGGTGGCAAGCATTAGGAAACCCACTCACATGGATTCCTCCGAAGCCCTCACAGCACTGATTCCCCCCCCCCCCAAAAAAATACAACATCACATAATTACTGATGTATGCTTATTTATTAATGTGCGATGTTTAGTTCTTTAAAAACAGAAACACGTACACACCGAACAAGACACTAGGCAGATGCTTTCATGCACTGCGTCTCCCACCCCGCAAGCTTCCGTGGCCTGAGCTTCCGAGGAGCTCCCTGGCTCAGTGCTGGCCTGCGTTTTCCAACACCAGCCGTCCTGGGTCCTATCTGCAGACAAATGCACACATATTGGAGATGGTGGCCTTGCCAGCCTCCTGTGATTAAAAGCGCTCACCCAGGGCTTTGTGCAAATGCCAATAAATTTGAGTGTTCACCCAACTGTGCCACTTAACCTTTGTTCCCAAAGGTGAAGGGCAGGATTTTTAATCAAGTAGCAATTTATCTTTAATTAGGAAAACATAATTAGGTATTATCGCCTAATTGCAATTACTGGCTGGAGAAAGTCGCATTTCACGAGCAGTGACCCACGCTGGACTGCATTTCTCCTAGGACTGAGTTTCGCGCCTGTACTCTTATTTGGCCGACAGCCAATGGAAATGAAAAGGTTGTCCCCTTGCTTCTCTGCAGCCCAGCTGTCAACGACACCAAGGATGCTGCCCAGGGAGGAACGGAGAGACTTCCTGAGCCGTCTCAGCTATGCCTGTTCTCTGCTCAGACATCAAGGGTGGATCAAAACGAGTGTGTACAAAACCGCCCTGTGAAACAGGTGAGAGCTGTCTCACGCTCGTTCCTGCGACAGTTAGAGACGGTTTAGTGTCTCAAGGCACCACTATGGTTGAACATCAGATACACGGGGAGTCAGCGGATCTTCTACGCGCCGTGAAGTCAGCAAGCAGCTTGTGCAACTGTGGAAGCAACCTCTAGGGGTCTGTCTGGACGTACTGGAGGCACATGTCTTAGAATACAAGTAGAAAACAAGGAGTCCTAGAAAAGCATGTTGAGCACCGTTGTGGCATCGTCTGTGTTCCTAATGCTACGTAAACCCGACAGTGACAAAAGGAAGGGACTACCGTTCTAAAGTTGCACCCAAGGCTGCTTTCTGCGCTGTCTCCAAGTGGGGGGGCTCTAGTTCGTGGGGGAGGCTTTGGGCGTCACTGGGTCCTGGTCGGTCTCTGTGGCACTGGCAGCTTCATTCAGGTGCGAGCTCAGGTTTTCCGAGGTCAGGTGGGAGGACTTGTAGACGATCTCGTTGAAGTCAGGCCTGATGCACACCATGGGGGGGTCGTTCAGCGGGTCCTCCACGGACGCCTGGGTGTTCTCCCGGGTGATGCCCATGTCCTTGCTGTGTTCCGAGGGAGACTTCCTTCTCATGCGAGTGTACGTTTTGTCTTGATTCTCCATGCCCTGCTCATTTTTCAGAAACCGTCCGAAGAACCAGATGAAGAATCCAAACCACACAAAGGCAATCAAGCTGGGAACAAAAGCCAGGCACTTGACGTCGAGGCTGGCCCCTATGAACCTGCTGTGCAGGAACATGTCTCCCTCCACGTACGTTTTATTCGTCCGTGGGTTGGTGTGATTGGACCGCCACTCCCAGGAGAGCCTGGTTCTGTTCAAGTCCTTCAAGCTCTCCGAATCTTTCACGGTGTAGATCTTCTGCCCTGGGCCGATATACTGGCCATATTCATGAGGTTTATAGAATATTTGGTTCTTCCACATATTAAGATCCAAAATCAAGACGAGGAAGATAATTCCATAGTTAAACCATTTACCTGCATTGAAAAAAGAAATACTGCAATTAACCAAAGATGCAACAGGGTGCACTAGGGTTTTCGTCAAAAAAATGAAGATACGGGTACACAACATGACGTGTTGCTAATGTTTTGGCCCTGTCAACGCCTGATCATTGAGGGGACTACGCTAGCATTAAGTGCATTGGTGAGCGGAATTTACTAAATGGACTCCAGGCGTATGAAAAGGCCATGGGGCTCAGGCACTTCTACTGACCGGAGCCACTCTCTGTGTTTCCAGGCACTGCAGCCACACTCACGTTTGGCTCCACATAAACATTTCAATTAGAAAAGTCCTCTGTGTGACTGAACGTCTCTTACAGTTCTATAATTATGTCTGGGCAAGAAATAAATCATTTTGCAATGCAAGCACAGCAGTATATCAACTGAATTCATATTGCTGTCTGTAGGTGACCTGTTGATTAAACCATTAGTTGATGTGACTCAGATCAATAATCCTTGAGCATTCAATTCAGGACTAAAAGTAATTGCAGCACATTTTCACCAGAGAACACACTGGTCAGACGTATAACTGTAACCAAAGCTAGTGAGCTGCTTTTATTAAAAGAGATGATCTAGAGAGACTCTAACAGTGATTTCTTTGTCGTATATAAAATCTTATCTAAATAAGATCTTTGGTTAGTGATAAACTATCATGTGATGATATATATCTGCAATGAACATGGAGAAACCTTGAAGGGATGCCAGATTCCCTTACAATATTGATCATAATTTATTGCAACTTTCACAGTAGCAAGTCTATCACAATAACATATCAATATTCACTTCAAGGGTGTGCTCAAGTCACAGGTTCTAGAAGACTTTCAGTTTTATGTAATATGCCAAAATTATTTTCTTTTGTATTTGAATAAAATAGAATTGAGGATTATTAAGACAGTGCTTCACACGATAATGTATTTCAAAAATACTCTCTAAAAGAATACAGAACTATATAAACATATCTAAACACTGATTTTAGAGAGGCATTTTATCATCATCAAAACCAGCACTTACTTTCATGTTCCTATCATAGGCGAGAAATCAGGGTATCAACCCTGACAGCAGCTGTGTGGCAGAAGCCCTTACAGCTCTGAGTACATGCAGAGAACAGCACTAACGAAACTGGGAGCATTTGGGGAGACCATCAGACAGCACGTGCGTCCCTGGCACACGGCAGAGATTGGCAACTGCTGCCTCTCTGAGCCTCGGCTATTTCTCCACTGGCACGACAAAGTCCCACCTGCTCTCCTGAGGTTTAGTTCCCTAAACCACTTCCTAACTTTGCCTCGTGGTTGATTCTGAGCAACAACCTGTTCGAGCCCTACAGGTCTCAGGAGCGTCTTGAACTTCCCAGGGTCAATGCTATCCCTATGCCCTCCTATCTGGAAACAACAGCCCACGTGACCGTCTAGCTGGGGTGACCGGGAAACAGCGCGCCAGCACGCACTGCGCGGCACGCCTCGGGAGAGGCCGCTGCGCCTGCCTCCCGGAGAGAAGCCCTCTCGCTGCTGGGGAAACAGGACAGAGACGCCGCGCACCAACACCCAGAGGAGGCCACATGCGAAGAATAAGGGTGAAAGTGCAGGTGCCACAGACGCCGAGAGCCGGGCTCGGCACGCAGGGGCGCCTCTCCTGCAGGGGTGCTGGAAGAGGCAGCAACGCACAGGGCCTCTGGACGAAGAGCAAGACGCGTGGCTTGGAAGAGGCTGAGTTTATCTGTTGTTTATGCTGCAGGTGGAGGAGCGTGCAGAAAGCCAGGAGATGAGGAGGAAGGGAGGAGCTGAGAGGGGGCCTGGGAGAGGGAGGACGACGGGCGCCGAGGGGCTGCATCTGGCGAGAATGAGACACGGATCTGTGGTTCTGTGACAGGAGGAGGCTGGGGCTCCCCCAAGCACTGGGAACAGGGTCAGGCTGCAGCAGCAGGTCCTTGGGCTCGGGCGATGAGTACCACCACTTTCCGGCCTCACAAGGAGCCGGGGAAGCAATGTGGGTTTTTCCTTGTCATAGACGCATGGATGGGGCGACAGTTCCACAGGGTCCCCTGTGTGCAGGGGAGCAGGACAGCAGGGACTGGACACACGGCACAGAATCAGGGGGAGGAGGATGCTTTCTTGCCGGAGCAGCTGCCCTGCAGAGGCCAACCACGGCGGCCAGCAAAACCCTGCTCTCCGGGCTCCGCAGCTGTCTCTGCACCCGGCGTCCTGCACAGGGCCGGCCCGGCGCCACTGTCACTCCGCACTGTCGCTCTGGGGTTTCCCCGACTATGGATGCAGGAGCGGCCAAAGGTTCAGGCGCCTCTGTCCATGGGGTCGGCTGGGCCGGCCCCTGCACCAGCCCATCTCCAGCCTTTGAGGCAGGCACAAGTCCAGCCAAGAGACATGCCGTCTGCTAGACAGACAGAAGTGCCCTGGGTGACAGACTGTACCAGTCCAGACCACATAGAAGATTCTGTTCCCAAGCTGGGGGAACGGAACCAGCAGTTTCTCAGCGCTCGGCTTCTGCCTCCCCCCACCAACCCTGCTCCTTGCTAGCTGTGTAAAGAATCCAATTTTCTTATTCCGTGAAATGAAGGATAATGCCAGTGTAACTACCTTGCAGGGTGCTTTTTCATAGAAGGATACAATGCAAGCTCATTTTTGAAAGCTGTCTGAGATAAACTGTTTGCCAAAAATTCGGGTGGTGTGATTTCTCCAATGTCTTCCGTGGAGAGAATACAGAACCCTGGTGATACAGGGGTGGCGGGAAGGGTGTGGCAGGGCTGTGACGAACACGTATCCTGACGGTGCTCACCTGCTCAGTCACTGACCACTGCACCTGCAGGCAGCAAACAGGAGGCCAGAGATGCCAGGGCACCGGGGAGCAGCTCCATGGAGACACGCTCTGTAGTCAGCGGCTGCGGTGTTCAGACTGCCAGCCAGGGGCAGGGGACTGCAGCTCGCTGTGGCCTTGGCCCCGGGCAATGGTCTTCTATGGAAACAGCTCTGGGGGCTAACTGCTCTCTCTGGGGACAGTGTAGGGGCGAGGCTCAGGGGCTGGTGTGGAGGGAGGCAGGCCCCTGCTCATCTCAGACACCCTCCCCACCACCACAGCTGCCCTGCAGAAACCAGATGCTGTTTCTCGTTCCTGTCCTGGGCCACCTGACGCAGCCTCTGTCCCAGGTCTCCACTCGCACGCAGCCAGGGTGCTGCTTCCTCTGTCACCAGCCTTTCTCCTGGGCCACCTGACGCAGCCTCTGTCCCAGGCCTCCACTCGCACGCAGCCAGGGTGCTGCTTCCTCTGTCACCAGCCTTTCTCCTGGGCCACCAGACGCAGCCTCTGTCCCAGGCCTCCACTCGCACGCAGCCAGGGTGCTGCTTCCTCTGTCACCAGCCTTTCTCCTGGGCCACCTGACGCAGCCTCTGTCCCAGGTCTCCACTCGCACGCAGCCAGGGTGCTGCTTCCTCTGTCACCGGCCTTTCTCCTGGGCCACCAGACGCAGCCTCTGTCCCAGGTCTCCACTCGCACGCAGCCAGGGTGCTGCTTCCTCTGTCACCGGCCTTTCTCCTGGGCCACCAGACGCAGCCTCTGTCCCAGGCCTCCACTCGCACACAGCCAGGGTGCTGCTTCCTCTGTCACCAGTCTCCCTTCTCCCCATGCAGAGCTCTGTCACCCTCTCAGTGATTTCTCCTCCTGCAGACAGTCCGTTTTTATCTTTTATTTTTAAAAATGCCAGAGTTACAGAGGGGCAGAAACATCCAGAGAGAGAGAGGTCTTCCATCTGCTGGTTCAAAATGGCCACAATGGCTGGAGCTGGGCCAATCTGAAGCCAGGAGCCAGGAGCTTCTTCCAGTTCTCCCACATGGGTGCAGGAGCCCAAGGACTTGGACCATCTTCTCCTGCTTCCCCAGGCCATAGCAGAGAGCAGAGCTCGTTGGAAGTGGAGTAGCTGGGACTTGAACCAGTGCCCATAAGGATGCTGGCTGGATGCCAGCATTTCAGACAGCGGTCTTACACAACGCGGGCCCCCTCAGGGGGCCCTGGAAGAGGTAGTCAGACCAGAAGACAAAGGCAGGCGGGGCAGCTCCAACCCTCCTTCCTGTCTGTAAAGACAAGGAGTTGAGATGTGCCGGCCGGAAAGCTTCTTCGCAGCCCCTCAGCCTTCCTGATGAGGCTGCGAGATAAATGCTGCTGGCACCCTAAAGTTTCATGATGTGCCGGGCAACCTAACCACTGGAGCAGAAAGGCTGGGGGCACCACTTGCAGGTGGGGAACATGTCCTTAACAAAAAATCTGGGCTCTGAGAAACGCCGTTTACCCTAAAAGCAGCACATCTGAGTCCCTGCGATGACCCACATGCCAGGGATACAAGGCACGCACAAGAACGGAGCAGAAAGCCCTCCCACGGCCCCGTTCCCCGCGCATGCTGCCATGCACACGCGATCAGAGGGAGGAGCGGCTCGGGGTCTCCACGTTCCCCACAGCAGCGCTCCTGCACGGCCCCCGCCCGGTGCACAGCTGCGAGAATCCCTGCGTCACCTCTTTAATCTCACTGCCTCCCTAGTGAAGAACCACACATGGGCTGGTGGGATGCATCACTTCTCTCTTAAACCTAGTGCTTCGAATGAGCATTACTGTCGAAAATCATGGTAGAATGGAGATTCTATCTTTTCTCTTTGTGGGAGTTTAGAGAATCCTGGGGTAGTTAATTTTAAAAGGATTCTTCACTAAATATCACCCTCTCTTCACAAGTACATGCTGGCAGTGTGGGGGAAGGCACTGTTCTCTTCAACTCAAGAGAGACTGCGCAGCACAGGTGTTCCCACTGCCACGTGCGCGGAGTCAATGCGCAATGTTAATATCCTGAAGTCTCTACTCTGCAGAGTCGCAGCGAGCACTGTGACTGAGCTTCCGTACATCCGAGAGGCACCAGCTGGCCAGACTCACACAGTCTGTGTGGGTGCTCCACTGGGTCACCTAGCATCCACCATGGGACACCTGGGAAC